CAAAAAAAGAAAAAAAAAAAAAAAAAAAAAAGCCAGGTGGCCTTTAAAGGGCCTAGCATGGGCGCTCTGGGATGTGCTGCCCGTGGCTCCGGGACCGGAGGGGCGAAGGTGCGCCGTCTCATGCAGGTCTGCAGAGCCCGCAGCGATCTCGCAGGGCGCAACCCCAGGGCGGCTCCACTCTGAGCCTTCACAGCCCCCTCTTAATGATTTCCCCTCTCCAGTTATCCCATGATGCTTGTCAGGGATGTATGACGCATGCCAGAAAATGTCTACTACTGATTTGAAAGGAAAAAAAAAGATTGTCCCCAGCCAGGTGTGGTGGTACGCATGAGAAATTTTAGCACTCTCTGAGGCTGAGGCAAGAAGATCGCAAGTTAGAGCCCAGCCTGGGCAATTTAGCATAACCCTGTCTCAAAGGAAAAAAAAAAAAAAAATGACAGTCTCACTTCCCTGGTGCTTGCGTTCCTTGGGGAAGAATAGTACTTGCAGGCTGGGATGAGCTAAGATGGAAGCAGGGGGGCCAACAGCCATCATGACAGAGTCCGCAGAAGACAAGGCTCAGAGGATGGCCTTCAGTGAGGAGGCCGGGCAGGCCTGGCAGGAAGGGATTTAAGCTGTGAATTAGATGAAGGTGCCAGCCAGGGGAGCAGATTGACAACCCCCAGCGTGCTGGGTCACACAGGAAAAGGCCCTGGGGCGGTGCAGAGCTCTGAGAGGGACACAGGCCGGTGTCTGCTGCAGAGCCGGCAGCTCCGAGCTTCGGCTTGGTCCTGCGCAGGAGATGAGGGGCAGTGAAGAATTCTGGGAGCCGAGGTCGCCTGGCTCTGGGCTCACTCTTCCCTGAGGGCCCAGAGGCTCCAAAGCCTTGGGGAAGTCGGTGAGGGTACACGGTCCTCCACCCCACCCTGGCTCCCCGGGGCCGTGGCTGCACCCTGGTGGCTGTGAGCTTTGGTCCCTCACCACCCAGACCATGGGGTCTCAGCACAGCAGAGAGGGAGCACAGAGGGGTGCGGAGTTATACTCCAGATCAACAAGTAATGGATGGATGGACAGACGATTGATAGGTGGGTGGGATAAGGACACCTCATGCAGGTGGGGGCTGTATTTCACTTTCAAATGCGTTCAATGTTCACCTGAAGTTTGACATGTATTGAGCATCTGTCCTGTGTTCAGTCTGCCAACACTGGAAAAGCAGGGGTCAGATAGTCTACAACTGAAGAAGCCACCATCCCCAAATGACCCAGAGGCTCTACAAGGGCTCCCCCTCTCCCGCTGCTACACAATATACCTGCCGCAGCCCACTCACTGCCTGGCCTCCTGGGCAGCACCTCAAACAACATCATCTAGGACTGGGGAGATAGCTCAGTAGCACAGCACCAAAAACCAAAAATCGCTAAGAATTAAACATGAGCCAAACTGGGTGTGGGGCACTTCCACTGGGAAGCTGAGGCGGGGGGGGGGGGGATCCCCAGTTTGAGCCCAGCCTGGAGGCTTGTTCACGGCTGTGGGGCCACTGGTAAGCAGTGGTGCCTTTAAGAGGTGGGGCTGATGGGAGGAAGTGAGGTCATGGGGGCGGGGCCAAGATGGGTATATAAAGACCCTCTCTTCTTTCTCTTTGATTCCCAGCTGCGGAATGAGCAGAGTGTTTTGGTCGGTGAGCCTCTCCCAATGGGACCAGCAGACCTGGGGCAGAAACCTTGAGTCAAAAGCAAGCTTTTATGCACATTGGCCCAGTACATTGGGGATTTACTCACAGTGACGGGAAGCTGGCTCAGGCCAGAGGCTGAGGTCAGGCAGGGCTGGGGGAGCTCGCCTGCCCTTCCTTCGTCACTTCTCAGACCTGCTGCTTTCCCAAGGGTGCAGAGTGAAGACACCGCTGGGCAGAGCCACCGGAGAAGCAGAGCCCCTCCTCATCTCCCTCCCTGTCCCCAGGTCCCCAGAGCAGGCTGGGAACTAAGTCAGAGGGGAAAAAGCTGCCAGGGATCTCCTTCCCTAGCACTTATCCCAGTTTATAATTGCACACTCATTAGTGTGGCGATGTGATTAATATCTGCTTCCCTCGGCAGCCTGTCAGCTCGCCAGCTCCCCTCTCCCGCCCGTACTGTACTCCGGGCCCAAAGCGCCACCTGCCCCCAGGCCTGATGACCGCACAGCCCACGTGGCTGACCCAGCGCCAGGAGGCTTCTCTCAGCTTTGTGGGATCGTCATTGCCTTTGCTCCCTACGGGACCCCCAGGAAGTAAGTGCTGAGTGGGGCGCAGGGCCACCCTGAAGGATGCCAAGATGGGGGACCACAGGGGCTGCGGAAGTTGCTGCAGTGGTAGGTGCCCGGAGCAGGGCAAAAAGCAGCCACCCCTCCAGCGCACGGCTGGGTGAAGGGGTGACTCTTTCCCCAGCTCTGTGACCCGTCCAGGACTGCCCCCGCCCCTCCCAGGAGGCAGGACACCTTCTTGTGGGGGTGCGACGGTCATCCTCAAGCAGTTTATACCGTCCCTGCCATAATATTCACGCAACACGAACACGACATCCTTATAATGCACGTAACACGGCCACGGATGGATCACGTGTGCGTACAGTGCCTGGCTTGCCACAGTGCACGACCTTGCGACCTCGTGGTGCACAGAAGTGAGGTGTGTTTAGGGGAAAACATGCTGGGCACCTTCAGTGTGGATCCCATGGTGACAGCCGCCTGTGGTGCAGCACTGGCCCTGTCTGCTCTGGGTCACCAGCCATGAGGGGACTCTGCAGTGTGTCATGCTGCCAGCTGTGACACTTGTGATGTCTGCCAGCTTGGCTGGTTTCAGTGCATTGTTGACGTAGAGTATTTTTACCCTGCAGTGGGCTTATCCTAGATGTAACCCTAGATAGAGGAGAACCTAGTCAGACTTATAATTAAATATGGAAATGTTGTTGGTCAAAGGCAGCAGGTCCTCAGCTCAGACGTGGGGGCACAGGCCTGTTCACCAGTGCATGTGGAGGCTGAGGCAGGAACATCCCAAGCTTCCGTGGAGCGCAGCCTGGGCCATTTGGTGTGGCTCTGAGAACTCCACCTCTCTGATCCACGGTTTCTGGTGCTCCAAGGAGCCCACTCACTGTGGCAGAGCAGCCTGTGCAGGTGGCTGAGAGGATGCTGACCTACGCTGGGCACCAGGCCCTCCCCCTCCCCACCCATGGCCTTTAGCACACACCCCCAGGCCCCCCACTGAAGCCTGGACTTTTCACTTACGAACCCCCAAACTCACCGTCTCTGCCTGACACCCATTCCAAAGCCATCTCCCAGTTTTCAGGGCTCTGCTCCAGCAGCGCCTCCCTGCTGGGCACCATGGATAGCTGGAGCCACAGGAGGCCTTGTAGCTGGCCAATGGCTGGTGGACCCCTTGTAGCTGGGGCAGATCTGGGCATCCCTCAGGATTCCCTTCAAGCTTGTCCACTTTGTCTTTGCGTCCCCACCTCCACTTTCTGAGGCAATGCCGGACCAGGGCCCCCTCTGACCTGGCTCTCACCCACTCTCCTCCGAGAACACCCCGTTCACAAATGCAGTCCCCTCCCAGCCTGAGAGCCAGGTCCCCAGTCCAAAGCTCACAGTTCAACCTACAGCAACCTCGGTGTGCAAGCCCTCCTGTTTCCAATGGCCTGGTGGACCCGGATGGACGTGCTCCAAGCCGTGAGGCCCGCTGGCAATGTCACAGACCTCACAGCGGTGGGCTCGGGTTCCAGACCTTTAATCCCCAACCCTCTCACAGTCAGGTGGGACCCCTCTACTCTATCTCCCCAGCCCAACCCAGCTGCAGACAGTCCTGGGAATCTCCCCGGAAGCAAATCAATGCAGACCCGGACAGTGAAGGCCCCAACTCCTCCGGAGACCCCACCACATCCTGGTCTCTGTCAGGTCCCCACCAGCTTCCCAGGGAACCCACATGGGCAGAAAGCCCCCTCCCAGAACACCCCAAATTCATCCACAGAGGAGAACGTGTAGAAGGCACGGAGGGACAGGTGGCTGAGGGTGCCTTGTGGCATCTGCTGGGTGGACAGAACTCAGTTTCCTGGGAGACATGGGGCCACGGTGGCCCTAGGCAGCCGTGTGCGAGCGCTTGGGGCAGAGGGACCCCCAGGGCCGGGGAGGCAGGCTGAGTAGCAGGAAGCAGCCTCCCCCCAGGAGCAGAATGAGGCCAGCAGCCACGCCACAGCCCAGGGACCAGGAGAACTCAAAGGCCAGGCGCGGGCCCCGGGCTCCCTGCGGGCTGAGGTCCCCGTCCTCGTCCCCGAGCAGGGCCCACACGGAATGCCGAAATACCTCGACGCCCAGCAGGAGCAGCAGGCCTGTGGGGAGAGAGGACAGGGTCTCAGTTATGCGGTCTGCACCCCGGTGCCCCAACCCCGGGGTCGCCTTGCACCCTCCCGCTCATGGAGCGCCAGAGACAGAAGGAGCTAAAATCTGCCCCGGGTCCAGACATGACAGCCGAAATCGCTGCTTTCCCGTGACCCCCAAGCCCCGCGCGCTCCATAAGGTGCTGTGGACGGGACCAGGGCACTACTGTGCAGTGGACTTGTGCCGGAGGGGAGCTAACAGGGCAGGCAGGCAGGCCCTGGGCCGGGCCGGGGGTCTGCTCCGCCCGCTTCCGGCCTCCCGCCCTTGGAGCCAAAACTGCGACACGTGGACAGCAGGTCTCCAGTTCCCAGCGACTGAGAACACAAGCAAGACATCCACCTCGTTTTTCTTTTCTTTT